GGCGCGGCTTCATTTAAATATGCAGAACAATGGATTTAGTCAAGAAGTAAAACAGTATTGAAATATTACTTTCTCGAAGGAATCTGCTCCATGGAGTTAGCTGGATAGTTAATTACTTTGTTAACTTGTAGTTAGTTATTTAGCTAGCTCGTTAGTTTGCCAGCGAGAGACGCACGTGGAACATAATTGAATGAACAGCAGTAAAGCAGAGAGAGAGGGAGATAGAGAAAGAAAACGAAGCTAGGCAACACAACAGATCTGACCCCACATCCTGCCAAGATGTTTACTACTTTAATCTCTCTTCCTCGGTCAACCAGAGCGATGGACAGACTAAATGTTCGGACCAGGCTTGTCGGATGCTCTGTAATTTGTGTGCTTTTAGTCGCATTAGGTTACCATTTTCTTTCTGCTTCAGCTTTCCCAGAAGTAGACGTTACAGTAATCGGATTAGGGTTTCAAAAGAATCGAATGCTACATTCTAGTGACAGTTTTATTTTTGTTCCGTCAGTGGAGATTGGAGAAGAATTTTAAGAGAGATATTAAGTATATTGACGTATAAAAGAGTTCTTTCATTAGTTTTTTGTGGTTGTTAAATGTAATCTCATACTTTGATGGAAGATCACAATTTGCAAGTCTTTGAAAACAAAGCGATTATGAAATTAGTAGAACCTAAGGAGTATGAATTAAGTAAGCACTTTAGAATAATGCATAGCTGGGAACTTTGCGATTTGTATGGGCGACATTTTTGTTTGTTTGTTTAAGATTGGAGCTGGATTTGTGTCTCGGGTAAAGGCATAGCGGTAGAGACGCCTCTTTTAAAGGGGTTGCCAATCGCATCTGAAATTATTTAATGATACTAACTATAACATGCACAAAATCAAAACATTTTACCGTATGTACATTGTAATTTAAAGGTGGAAATGCACTTCCTGCATTAAATTTCCCGGTTCCAGTATTCTACTTTCTAGAATTGTATTCCACCGTTAACACACTTAATTTGACATGTAATAAAAATGCGTTAACTGTGAGGTCAGACAACTGTTTTCTTGACGTTACCGTGAACATTTCTGTTCCTTTATATTGCGTTTCTATCTGGAATTATTAGCACTTATATTCTCTTGTTTTTCTTCTCTTATTCCGTCTTACAGCAGACGCTGTCAGTCTTCGCCATTACGACGTTGTCTCTATCAT